ATCGCAACCCTCGGTGTCGTAAAATGGTACTCAGGGCCTTTAGATAACAATACTTACTCCATTAAGTTACTAATTTTTTTTAACAATAATTTAAATAGGGGCTGGCTGGTTACCTCAGTGGGTTAGAGTGTGGTCCTGATAACAACAGGGTCCAGGATTTGATCCCTGTACCAACCAGTGCCCCCTCAAAATAATTAAAAAATAGAAATAAAAATAATTTAATAATTTCACATAAACTGTCATTTAAAACTTTGTGACTCAATAATACTTCTTTATATGGCTAAGAAAACTGAGAAACAAATTATGAATATTCAAAGAAGAATTCATTTTGCTGGGAAAAAAAAACTGTTATACAAAAAATATGGAAACATCCCTGTACTGCCAGCTGGCACAAGGAAAAAGAAAATATGTAAACAAACATTAATTTTCACAATTTATATACTGCAATTAACCAGTATCGACAGAAATATAACAGGATGGATGAATGGGGACAGCAGGCGAGAAATTTAAAAAGATCCCTTTGTTCACGAAATAAACAGTTAATTTCATTACAACACTCCTATAAGCATCAAAAGAACATTCAGCTTCATTAATAAAAAATATTTATAAGTCCATCTCAGTAGGGGATTTTTAATGTTTTAATGTACAGAGGTAGAGATGCCTTAGGAGACATATATTTATATGCATGTATGTATGAATTACTGGATTATTTGCCATACAGAATAATCAAGTGTAGGGTAAGGAAAAATAATTCTTTTCCAAATGCCTAAGATATCAATAGGATAATAGAAATCTCAATTTCTCTGGGGTGATTACCTGTTTCCTCCTATTTTTTCCTACTGGCTCCTAGTCTTACTGATTTGTTATTAGAACTTTCAGCAGGGTGTGAATTGAATCTCCCCAGAAATTGGGAGGCAGTATGAAAAAATGAGTTTCTAAAAATGCACATTTGATCACGGAAACCTCCCATTTAGAACTCCTCCAGCTTTCTCTCCAAAGGATCATCAAATACATACTCTTTACCATGACTAAAAAGAGTGCTCCTCAAATCTCCAGGTGCAGAAGAATCACCTGGAGAGCTAGTTAAAACAGACTCCTAGGCCACCCTCTCAGAGATGATATAGTCTGGGGTGGTGCCAGAGAATTTGCATTTTGAACAAGTTCTCAGAGATGCTGACAATACTGATGCCCAAACCACTTTCCCAGTAACACTGTTAGATCTTCTGTACACTACTTCTTAAAGGACCAGACACATCTCTGATCATTCCTCCAGATGCAACATGATCCAGCCACACAAAATTAATCATAGTTTTCCAAGCACGTGCTCATCCTTGAGGCATATTTTTTAGAAGCAAATTTCACTTCTGTAAAACCTTCCCTAATCCTACCACTAGACATAATTGGTTGTTGCCTCCTCTGAGTTCCCAACGCACCTTAATAGCTCTATGAGAGCGCTTCCCATATTCTGCTCCATCTGCCTAATGAACTGTTGAATAGGATCTCATCCTACTTAGCTTCTGGCTCCAGAGCTCAGCAGAGTGTCTGGCATGTAGTAAGACACTCAATATTAGGTGAATGAATGAATTTTTTTAAAAAGACACTTCCAACTTGCCAACTGTACTATGGGAGACATCAAAGCTTTTTTTTCGATGGCTGGGAGGTACAAGGGTCAAACCCTGGAACTTGGTGTTATTGGCACCACACTCTTGAGTAACCAGCCAGCCAAAGTTCTTGACCTAGAAACAGTTATTTGAATTATCTATCTTTAATAGAATCTTTAATTGGAACTGTTAAAAGAGACACTAGAATATGGTAAACAAATATTTCCAAAATAGTCTCATGACTACCTTGTGGAAATTTCATGGAGGTGACCAAAAACTGTTCAGACAGTTTTAAAACTCCACAGAGGCAATAGGGATTAAGAGAATGAAAATCAAGGAAGTCTTTGTAAGAATTTCTTCAGAAAAAGCTATCTAATTGGGAGGAAAGTGAGTAGCCCACCTATTATATAGGCCCTACGGGGAAGGACAAAGACAGGTTTTACCTACAAATAAGGTCTGAAGTGTCAGTTAATACAGGTATCCTTCTCTAACAAAATTATCAAACTTGGTACCAAAACTAAATGAATGGATTCCAACAGCAAGCAATGCTGGTTTAAAGGACCTGACATTCAAACGTGTGACTTAAGACTGTTCTCATGACTTAAAAGTGATTGTGGGGGCCGGCCCGGTGGTGCACTGCTACAGTGCACCGCTTGGGAGTGTGATCGTGCTCCCGCCGAGGGTTTGGATCCCACATACAGACCGGTTCCCGCTCACTGGCTGAGCGAGGTGCGGGCGCAACACCGAGGGTTGCGATTCCGTTGCCGGTCCCGGTCCGGTACGGG